GAAAGCCTGAAAGAAATTCTACTCAAAGGTGTTACTTATGGAATAAAGTGGTTGGGTTTTAAGCTTGGTCAGAACAACGGATAGTAACCTGCAGTGATGATCTGTGGGCAATGATGTTAAAGGTTGAAAGGGTATTCATTTGAACCATTAATGGAGTGATAAATCACTTTCAAAGTTGCACTTAAAGTTTTGTTATATTAAGACAAAACAGTAACGAGTGAGTTAGTAAAGTCTTAGCTTTAGTGAATCATTCAAAATGTACAGTATACAAACATTTAATAAAGCACACGTACCTAGCCTGACCTAGGGTTATAAAAAAAAAAAAAAAAAAAAAGCAAAATATTATTTTCTAAGTTACTGTATATCTAGAGAAATATTTTTTTTACAATAACCTGACTGCAGGTTAATAATAATAAAATAAACTTAAAAAATTTAACTAAGTCAAATTCAGGAATAATATTCACTTTTCTTTAGTTTGCATTTTAATCTTTAATTTAAAGAATCATTATATTGTTTTACTATCGCCATCGTCACACCATTAAAATCTAATGACCTCAGATCTATCCGAGTAGACTAAAGAGACAACTTTTTCAATTTTTTCAATATTTTTAAATATGAAATTAGTCCGAAGGCACATTGAAAAGGATCGATCGGTGAGAATCTCAAGATTCAACGTATTAACGTGCGCGATTAGGTTGAATGATTAACATAATTATAATTTAGGGTTATGTGACTCTTCTCGCCGAAGAGCTTGAAGACATGTGGCATGTTTATAATCTCATTTCGCCAGGGGATGAACTCAAAGCGTCAACCATACGGTAATAGTTAAAATAATTAATATTTGATCCATGCCGTATTCCGTTAAGATTTTATTTTGTTTTAGGCGAATTCAAAAGGAAAGTATAACCGGCTCCGTAGATTCACAAAGAATAAGACTTACTCTGACCATATCAGTGGATAAGGTCGAGTTTGATCCGCAAGGGGGATTATTAAGAGTTCGAGGGCGGATTGTTGCCGAAAATAAACATGTTAAAGTATGTTCTTTCATTATTTCATTTTGAACCATGCTGACAGAAATCCTTGTGATCAACTATCTTACGATATACGATATATCTAGATGGGCACATATCATACAATTGATCTTGAATTAAATCGAAATTTCACACTAACCAAACAAGAATGGGATATTATTGCACTTGAGCGTATCGGAGAGGCCTGCGATATCACCAAGCAGGCAGATGTAGCTGCTATTGTTCTTCAAGAGGGTAAGTCACAAGTCACAATGATTGTTGTGCAATTCCTTCTCATTCTAACCGTAAAATTGGCATATAGGTCTAGCAAACATATGTTTGGTTACGCGGAACATGACCTTAGTGCGGCAAAGAATTGAACATTCAATACCTAAGAAACGCAAGGGATCAACATCGAATTATGAAAAGGTGTGTGTTGGTTGTGTATTATCATTAATTTTGTCGTTCACTGCTATCGTTTATCATATTAATTATTTAATAATCTAATCATTTAAGGGGCTCCAAAAATTTTATGAACAAGTCCTGCAAGCAATCTTAAATCATGTAAATTTTGAAGTAGTCAAAGCTGTTATCTTAGCTAGTCCGGGCTTTGTCAAGGTGAGATGTACTGCATTTCCCGACAATAGTCTCTAGATTGGCTCTAATCTGGTGAGTTATTTAATTTAGGACCAACTTTACAAATACATTTTTGAAGAGGCTGTGGTATTTCAAAATCTTTTAATGCATCATCTAAAACTTAATAATTAAACTGTCACTAATTCATCAAAAACTTTGATTTAGAGAAAAGATATTAAGTTACTTCTTGAGAATAAGTCAAAATTTATATTAATTCATTGCTCGTCGGGACATAAGCACGCACTGCAAGAAATTCTTCAAGACACAGCCATACAAAGTCAATTATCAGATACTAAATATGCGAAGGAAGTAATAGCCTTAGACAGATTCTACAAAATGTTAAACGAAGATCAAGACAGAGCCTTTTACGGCTGGGATCATGTCAAAAAGGCAGAAGAAAGAGGTGCCATCGGAACGTTGCTTCTTTCAGATGAACTTTTCAGGTATTTACAACATAAGAATAATCTGGA